ACTTCCAGGGCTACCACGACATCTCTCAGGTTCTACTGCTGGTGCTGGCACCAACATGGAGAGCTCGTGTTCTCGCGCGCCTATCCGTCCTGAGGATACGGGACTTTATGTTGCCCAGTTTTGGGCCAACAACCGCTCAACTCCGTCTTCTGCCGGACATTCTCCATGCTGCTGATCCCAAGCTCCGACGGCATCTTGCAGGTGTTGAGCCCTTCTATGCCTTAGCCGGAACCCTGACCATGTATGCCCACAACATCGAGACCTATCAAGACATCGCCAGATTGTTCGACGTCTTCCTAGCCCGGGAGCCTGTATTCACAGTCTACGTGTTTGCGCAGATCATTCTTGACCGTCGAAATGAGATCTTCGAGATAGACGAGCCTGATATGCTGCATGTCATTTTGGGCAAGGTCCCAACAAAAATGGATCTGGACGAGCTTATTATAAAATCAGCCGCCCTCTTTGGGCAGCATCCTCCTGAGACTCTTAGCTACTGGCGACACATCTCTAATTTTAGTGCTCTAAAGACAGCCCGGGATATCGAAACCTGTGCGAAACAGACCATGGAAGAGGGCTCAGAGCTTTTCAAGAAGCAGGTCAATGAGCTTCATTGGCAAGAAATGTGGGATCACATCAAGTCGGTCCTCTGGCGTTACCGCCGCCCAGCCAAGACCGTTGGTATGGCTCTTGTTGTGGGAGCCTTGGCTTTCTACCTTCGCCGCAATCCAATACTCGTCCATCGCATTGCCTCATTCTTCTCTCCATAGACACCAAAGTCCCCACCCGCAAGATAATTGCTCAGATAAATTGCTCAAGGTCGGCATATTGGTTATAAAAGTTGGCAGATGAAATGTTTTACCCCACGCTAGAATGGCATAGATAACACTTTGTTTGTTCAAAGCTCTGTTTAGCAACAAGACCCGTAGATGATTTCACCGAGACGCCATGCAAAAGAAATATACACTAGTTACACCCAAGGGAAGACATGAGAATGCACTATTTTCCCGTGGATTACCCCTCTTGTTTCCCAACAATTTTGTATCCAGATGAGCCACTTTTCTAGGACGTCTCTTGGTACTGAGTCTTCAGTTCTTCGAAATGCCCCTGCTGCTCATCAGCAAGCTTACCGTTCGCATCGCTGATAATGGTGAGGATAAGTGAGTAGTTGTTATACAAGAAGCGCCCGCTCTTACGCTTGTCACCGAAGAGCTCAGCTTGGCGAGTAAGAAAGGTCTCAACTTCGGAGCGCAAGCGGCGCAGGCTGGACACAACAGGTTCGTCATCACCGGCATCAGTGCTGAGGGCCAATAAGCCGTGCAACAGCTGCCCGAAACGCTGGGTCACAACATGAGGTGCCGCAGAGAGTTTAGCGACTTCGGTGCGGCTCGGTTTGGCGGGCACAGCATTGCTGAGGTGGCGCACAGAATCGCAGTGACGATCCATTATGACCTGAAGACGGGGCCACAGGAGCATGGTCGTAGCATTGATGTAGCCATCCACAGCAGGGACCTTTCGGCGCTGGAGCTCAAAAGCAAAATGCTGGTTCAGCCGGATACAAAGAAGTAGGCCAAGCGCGTCGTATGTCTCCCCTATCAGAGTCTTGGAAAGTGTTCTGCCGAGTTCGAAGGTAGCCTGGAAGACATAGTCAAAGTTCTTCGAAATCTGGCTGTAGGACAATGCGGGAGAGAAAAAGGTGGCCATGAACGTGTATTCCGCCGTGGCATTGTCAATAAGTGCCAGGTTGAAGTTGCGGAAGGGTACTTCGAGGTAGTGAGTCGATTGGTCTTCTTCGGCGAGATATGAGGAGAGTGCCGCTTGATTGTTAGTTTTCAGATGATCAATGCGCCGGCCAAGGTTAAATGCATCATGAGGAGGCCCTGGTGCCCTGTTGCTCGAAAGAACAGTAGCCTTGCGGGTTGCATCTTCGTGGCCAAGAGCGTCGTTCTTGTCTAATATGTGAAGCCTGATTTTCCCGAGAGCCTTCTCATACCGGGAAAACTGATTAAGGTAGTACCACCGCATAGTGTTCATATATGCAAGGGCGATCTCATTTGCGAGAGTCGGATGGTGTTTGTGCAGGAATGTGTAAAGATCCTTGTATCGAAGGAAACTTTGTTGCTGAATAATTTGGGCATTGATATGCGGTGAACGCAGTGCTTTGATCTGAGCCACGATGAAGTCTCGTATGCGCTCGATTGCCTGAAGAGTTAGTTGAAGTTCTGACAAGAGCATGGCAGAGTGCAGATACCTTGAAAGTGAGCTTGTCAAGAATCGGTTCGAGGTCCTTTGCCGCATTACTAGTTTGAGTTTCGGACTTCTTTTTAAATAGAGTCGACCTGCGATCCAGTTCGGCGAGCATCTTTGCCCACGTCTCATCGATGTGCCCCTCAGAGATCTTAGAGATAACTTCGGGCGGCAAGCTTAGCTCTTCTACCAGAGGCCCCAGTGCCTTCTCAACTTGCTTCCGGTTTTCCAATCTTCTATTCAAGGCTGTCGATCGGGTTTGCAAAGACTCGATGTCTGCGGATACCAGGGCAAGGTCGTTACGGAAGTTGGCAAGGCTGATTTCAACTGAATTGAGTACATCGTCACATGCTTCAATCGATCGGTGAAGATCTTCGAGTTTGGTTCTATCATTCTCGCCTATGATATGTTAATTATAGGGGTCAAAAGGGCATATGTTGCGATAAACGGACTCTCTTCTGCCGTTTTTGGCTTGCGGTTGCTGGTTGTGATTGTATCAGGAGGTTCGGACGTGGCAAGCTCCTTTAATGACAATCCCCCAAATACGGCCTCGAAGTTGATATCGTCCTCATTAATGGCAGTTTTCTTGTCGTCTTGTTCGCGGTCGCTCGAAAAGCCTGCTAGCAAAGTCTCTAGCACCTCCAAAGAATCAGATCCCGTGTCTATTGTTGAGGCCTGCCTCAAGTTGGAACCATTAGGCCTTCGCGAAGACGAAAGGAGTGAGATGGTGGAATCATTGGATACGAGTGATAGCGAGGAGCCTCGCGGAGAAATCCCAGGACGCTGAGATGTGACATATGGGCTCAGAGTGCTCGAAGTTCTTTTAGGATATACTCTGCCACCGGGTTGAGGCGTAGAGGGTCCAGGACTGCTGGCCGGGCCTCCCGCCAGTCGGTCGAGCCACATGCCGGGAGAGGTAGGACAGTAGCAGAATTCAATATATAAAGATTAATGCGCGGGTTCGAGAGCCGTAGGCAATATCATGGTAATGGTTGTCGAAGTCAAATGCGTTGGTCGATAATGGGCATCAAGCTATTAGTGAAGCTGAGCTGGGCGCAAAAGGGTCAGCTTGGCCAGCTTGCAACGCGAGGCTGTTGACAGCCATGAAATTGAAGGTGTCGAGTGAAAGCTGATTGGACACTTCAATCCGGGGACACTTTAACTCCAGCCTTGTGTGGCTGTGCGGGGCTCTCTCTAGGTAGGTAATTTTGGCAACGACACACAGATCTTGGCCAGCCGATAGTCTGTCTCTCTGTCGGCAAAATGCAAACCCACCCGACCACATCAAAACTACAACCGCCTTGGACAGAAGCATAAGAAGGCACCAGAAGACTATAAAAACACAGCAGTCTGGTATTCGTCCTTATGGTTAGCAGCACGAACCAGGGCCTACTTATGTTCGGCCCCCAGGTCCCCCTTATTATTAGATCGAAAATCGTCCTCAGCAGGAGATGATCTGGCTCGTCTTAGGCTCAAAGCGCCACAGAAGAGCAAACAGTGGAAGAAAGGGTAATGTTGCAGCTTGCACGGCGATGCTTAGGTATGGCTCGAATACCTAGTACCTGCTACCTACGCTATAGGGACTGAGGTAGCAATCGGCCTACCGATATAAAATGTGATGGCTTTTATTGTGCGACACTGCGATCCATGACCATCCATGCCTTGCTCCATGCTTGCAAGAGTTGCTTGCAGTTCACCAAAGCCATTTTGCTGAGACACACAGGTCCCGGGCACCAATGGCCACCTCAGGTTTGAGAGGGGAACCTGGAAGCAAGCCCCCAAATCAAAAACATAGGATGGGTTGCTCCCCGCGTGAGCAGTTGCATTTCAGCCATTGAGTCCTGAGGTTAGCATCAATGACCCCCTGCAGGCTTTGACGCCTTGACGCAGTGATGGCTTGGGAATCTCCGTGTCAGGTTGCTTCTTGAAATGCCTAGAGTGCCCTCGTGACCTTTAGACCACCTCGCTTTCTTTGAGTTCTGTCCGTTGGCAGAGGTTGGAAGTTCAGTCTCAAATTCAATATTCGACCCAGAATAAAAACAAATTCTGACATGTGAATGGCCAGAGCAATGTTTACTCTGTCTTGACCCCGCCACCTCGAGCTTTGCTGAGATGACCGATCGTCAAGGCGGTAACCTAAAGCTGCCATCAATTAACACTTCCTGGTGGCTTCCCGCTCCACCCCGCTCAGTTTTCTTTGCAGCGGAACAGATGCCCTCAAGGCCCTGTAAGCAATAACCCCTCCACTGGTACGGGAACAGAGTTCTGGGAGAGGAGGGGTCGAGTAGCTCACAGGCGAGGGGCAATGTCGAGGGTCCATCTCCATGGACTGGGCTCCCCTCTCGGCCACTGGAAAGAAGGACAAAGGTTGGACGCCTTGAGTGCTTACAGGTTTTACGAGAGCTAAGACTGCCTGTGCTCTTCTTAATTTCTACCTGTGCTAGCTGGGCAAGCTGGGCTATCATATCCACCGGCAGCGTCCGTCCATCCACAGGACCTAAGTAAAAACTACAGCCTGGAAAATAGTGTCCACTGCTACGCCCATTTACACCAATCAAAGACTTTAGGAAAAAAACTTGTCGAGGGCCTCGCACCTTTTTCTTTGCCCCCCATCTCTTTTTTCCGAGTTTGGCCCTCTCCTCCTTCTTCTCTTCTCCATCCCACTATTAAGCACCACTCTCAGCTTTTTTCTTCTCTCCTCCTCAACCTCACTCCTTTCTCTTCAAAGAACTCGACTTCTTGTCAATACCGTCAAAATGGCCGCCCCTAACGATGCTGAGGTGAGTTTGCTTGCTTCTGCTGCTGCCTCTGTCGAATCCCAGGCGCACGCGCCCACGAAATCTTCCCTTGCGCCCATTTTTCGCCTGGAGATTGACACCCCGCATTGTGACCTATGCCCCACGATACAATACTTTGCCATTTGAGTTATTGAATCGAGCTTCACAAACCATGAAAATGGCCATCACCGTCATATTATGTTCATATCTATCAAGAATTTTGCTAATCGCCCCTTTTCACCCTGGCACAGCATGAGATGACCTTCGATTCGGCCGATGCCGGTGCCTCTCTTACCTACCCTATGCAGTGCTCTGCTCTTCGTAAGAACGGTTTCGTCGTGATCAAGAACCGCCCTTGCAAGATCGTCGACATGTCCACCTCCAAGACCGGAAAGCACGGTCACGCCAAGGTCCATCTCGTTGCTACCGACATCTTCACTGGCAAGAAGTACGAGGATCTTTCTCCCTCTACTCACAACATGGACGTCCCCAACGTCTCTCGTCGCGAGTACCAACTGGTGTGTAAACCCTTGCCCCGCTCCAAAAGAGGAACAACCCCTCTCCTCAGAAGAGCAGACCCCCGGTCATTTCCGCCACCAGCTCAACTAACATGTATTCAAGCTCGACATCTCCGACGACGGTTTCCTCTCTCTCATGACCGATGACGGTGACACCAAGGACGATGTCCCCCTTCCCGACAACGAGGTTGGCCAGAAGATCACCAAGCTCTTCAAGGAGGAGGAGAAGGACACCAGTAAGTTGCTTTTGTGGTCTTTAATCGACGAGTTGCCTAATCATGCCTCTCAGACGTTATCGTTCTCACTTCCATGGGCGAGGAGTGCGCCATGGAAGCCAAGGAGGCCCCCAACCAGGGTTAAATCGCCTAACCTTTGATCCGCACCCTCTTTTAAATGGCACTTAGCCTCTGAGCTCCGCATTGAAAGATGATCTGGGCTAGGGATCTTTGCTTTGATGAATGTTTGGCGCATCAATACTCCTGGGCCATGGATTGGGCATTGCGCAGAAGGACTCTATCTGGACAGGATTGCCTGCCGGTTATGATATACGGCAATTCTAAGCACCCGAGCCTCAGGCTCAAAAAAATGTTTTCCTTTGTTCCTAGCTCACACGCTGCACATGCCATCATGTCACGATACGTAGCGGCAATTTTATGAAGAAAAAAAATGGGAGAGCTTTGGAGTTGATCATGATTTGTTGATGTTGAGTGACGTGAATTCTGTAAAGTCGTTGGGCACCGCGGTAACATTTGCTTAATACGGGTGCGTTGCATAGGTAGGTAGGTAGGTACTTAGGACGAGACAGTAAGGTGTTGTAGGTATGGACGAACATGTGTTTGGGTCTAGGTGTGGTACAAACCTGCATTTATTAATACACAATCCAAAAACCACAACCCTGTGAAATGAAGGATAAGATAATTAAATCGAAATGATTATACAGCTATAATTGTGTATACAATGCTTATGATTTTGCTCGCTACAAAGTGTACAACATGATCCTACAAATACATATGGGCAAGTACCTACCTACATATATATTTTTTCGCTCTAACCACGTTTTTTTGACCATCGCAAACCCATAACGACGGAGCTTGCAAGCCAGAAGCAAAGACAACGACAAAAGCAAATGCGAAATGCCATAATCAGTGCAAATTATGGATGAGAGGCGAGATCTTCGCAAGTTTCCCCGCGGGGAGAGATGTCCAGAATGTGGTGCTCGAAGATGGTATTTGGAGAATGGTCTGCGCTTCTGCTCCAACGGACATCAGGTTGAGGTGTGTCTTGCATTACACTCTCGAAGACCCTGGGCTGAAAATCATATTAGGGATTCATTCAATTCGACATTGGTGATGATGTCGATGCTGGTCAGCTTGGTAAAAAGACAAAAAAGGACAAGGAGGTCAAGGAAAAAGAGCTGCGCCATCTTACAGGGCAAGCAGGCAAGAATCTGTTTCTGGAATGTCTACAGCTAGTGCTAAGGCAGCAGCTCCTTTGGCTCGTTCAGAGCAAAGGTCATCGAGAAGAACTTGAGACTGTCGTGCGCGATCTGTGGGATCTTCGCATTCGAGGCTCTGGGGCATTCCTGGCTGAGGAGGAAACACAACAAACGGGTGATGGCCTTGCGATATTCAGTTCGCAGCCTACAGACACAGAAAAAGATGACATTCCTAAGAAGCAAGGTGCAAGAGCTCGTAGCTGGAATCTAGAGGACAACCCAGATTGGCCTGTGCCGAGAATGATTGAAACCTTGGCCTTGTGCTACCTCGGATGCTTGTTGCTCAGGATACCTACCACGATTGGGGAGCTTTGCGCCTGGGCCAATTCTAGACGAATGCCTTACAAACGAGCAGTAAGTCAACCTTGAAGAGTTTATCACCTCAGCTAACAGATATCAGTACTACGATCTTCCCGAAGAAATGCAAGATCGACTGCCATCTGCTTATACCAGGGCCCTCAAATTACCCCTGCGCTCTTCTCTCAGAGGCATCGACATGCACAATGCTGTGCTAGATCTCGCTCTCTCATATCATCACAACTATGGAATGATATTCCCAGCCATTAATGATACACCAACGATTGTACACTTTGTCAGGCAGCTCACTTTACCAGGCGAGTGCTCTCAAGACGCCGACCCGTCCTGTATTGACTGTTCTAGTGGAAACGCTCATCGCAGCAAGAAGCATACTATCGGTGATGAAGTTCTCTTTTCAATTACCCATTGAGAAGTCACGGCGATTTCATATAGACTATCCCGAGATCTTGCTCATGTCGGCTATTGTGGTTGCAGCAAAGCTGTGCTTTCCGTTGGGACAGCACACCCCTTTTCTTCGCGCCGCTGGCACAGAGCAGAGTATCAGATTTGATTGGATAACGTGGTTCAAAGGCGCCCAAGAATTAATAGAAGCATCTCAAACACCTGGGAAGGAGCCCAGCTTCAATCAGGTTACCGCTGACCAAGTTACTTCAATGGCCACAGAGGAGCTTGACCAATACTTTGCTCATATTGCGAGCACGATCGACAGGAAGAGTGAGTTCATCCCAGGGCATCAAGACAATACTAATAAATGGAAGATGATTCGGAAATCACCAGATTCTTTCCATCAGAGAAGGCACCTCCTCCAGAGGCTCCTCCAAGAGAAAACACTGAACAAGATAATGACCACAAAATGCGGAAGATCCTTGGTCAAGCAATTACAGTAAGAGGAGAAGAGGGATCAGAACAAGACGGGAAAACTCTAGCAGAACCAAGCTATGAAGCGTTCCGTTCGGTCAAAGACCTTACAGAGACAGCGCAGGCATTGTATAAAGCTGCTGGTAAGTTATCAGGCCTTTTTCATATAGTCTCTCGAGCTGATCGGTGGTCAAGGTCACATATCAGGCCTGTCGCTTGATGACATAGTGCAAGCAGTTTACATGTTGGAGCAGAAGATGATTTCATGGCAATTGAAGAGACGCCGAGAAGAAGAGCAAGGAGAGGAAGAGCAAGAAGAGGAAGTTGTTTGATCATATCAATAACATGGCCGATAATACCATGGATACCTACCTTATTATGACTTACATCTAATACATCAGGTACCGCAAGCTTCCACGTGAACCAGGACATCATGGGCGACGGGAGGTGTTGGATCCACTCCCCCTCGCCTCACAGAAACGGTTCTGGTGGGCGGGAGCCCAGCACGTGATCATCTTCAACCTTAGGGCTTTCCTTCCTTTTTGAACTTGTTCGCCCCACCAATTGCGCGCAGAAGAAGACCGGCTTTCCAATCCTCACATCGTCACGTCACAAAAATCAGTAAAGAGTGAGTATACCCCTAACTATAGCCTCAAACAACCTCAATAGGCGTAAATACTGACTCTCCATGTAGTGCAGATGTAAGCTCGAGCCCACCGATTGCGAAAAATCAACCAAAATCGCCTCTTTCCGTTGTGTACTAACAGAACCGTCCAGTTTCGTGAAGACCCTGACGGGCAAGACCATCACCCTCGAGGTCGAGTCCTCGGACACCATCGACAATGTCAAGTCCAAGATCCAGGACAAGGAGGGAATTCCCCCGGACCAACAGCGACTGATCTTCGCTGGTAAGCAACTCGAGGATGGCCGAACTCTCTCCGACTACAACATCCAGAAGGTGCGTGCTGGGATCCGAAATGCCGTTGCATTCGCAGGAAGATGATTGGGAAATTATGGGAACATCCACTTACGCCTTGTACAGGAGTCTACCCTTCACCTCGTCCTCCGTCTCCGTGGTGGTATCATTGAGCCCTCGCTCAAGGCCCTTGCCTCCAAGTTCAACTGCGACAAGATGATCTGCCGCAAGTGCTACGTATGTCGAACCTGCCGCCCGCAACGCACCGGATTCTAACCAGCATCAACAGGCTCGTCTCCCTCCCCGTGCCACCAACTGCCGCAAGCGCAAGTGTGGACACACCAACCAGCTCCGACCCAAGAAGAAGCTCAAATAAACGATTACTCCATGGATGTGGCGTCTGGGATTTGGCATTTGGGGGTCGATGGCAAGGACAGAGGAGAGCTTCTTTTCTTTTGTTCAAACGAGGCTGGTTGTTTTTACATTAGCATGTGCAGCTCAGGCAATACATTCTAGATGATGCCCATATTGACGATGTGCCGTGCCGCGAGGTGTTCCGGCCAGACCCCTTCAAAAGAAATAAAAGCATTCACGCTTCGAGACAGTTACGGGCAGGGAAATGAGTGACTGTGCTATGATGTTAACAACACAACTTGTAGCTGGCAAAGCTACCGACAATTGATTCTCAAACTACGGCGTATTCCTCTATTAATTCTGTCATGTTGAATGCAACACTTCTCCAATTCACTAAATCTCCCTTGCGATAGCTTGCAGGGTTGTTTCGTCTCCACTGATAATCCCTACCCTGAGCTCGATACATATGATTGAAGCCGACAATTATCAAGCGCCGGTTAATCGTCGGTTCTGAGCTTGGCACGGTGCGCGTGCTCCTATTACGACAACTGCCAAACTGTCCCAATTAGAAGCCGACAGCAACCAGTGGGAGCACCTCAACCTTACTCTCCCTTGTGACTTTGTCACTGCCGTCCATTTTCACCAAATACGTTCATCGACTGCAAACGAGCCGTTCTTTTTATCCTTTCAAAGCTATATATTTAGATAAGATACCTACCCAACTTCACCATGTCTGGTTCCGGTTACGACGCCGTCGTCGATGTTGACGATGAGGTATGCCATGTCCCCTCTAGCTAGCTACCCTCTCAGGCGCAATGCTGCAATCCTCAAGATATTTACACAAGGCTCTTTGACTAAACTAATACGATGCTCAGGGCGACCTCGGACATACCGATCTTCAAGAAGACCTCGAGTTCCATACGTCTAACTTCAATGATACAAACCCCAACACCCGCAAACCTCCCTCCAGCGGCAGCGGTCTTCCTCCACCAGCGACGGCCTCGACCGGCTCCGGCTCATCCAAGCGCTTCCTCTGGAGCATGAACTTTTATGCGCAATTCTTCGATGTCGACACCTCAGCTGTTCTGTCCCGTTGCTGGGCTGCTCTGTTTCCCAGGGCCAACTTCCTCGACGTTCTAGAGGGCAACCCTGATCTGTACGGACCTTTCTGGATCGCCACGACGGTCATTTTGATCCTTTTCCTGGGCGGCACCATTAGCCAGTATATGTCGGATACGGGCAAGGGGCCATTCCTCTATGACTTCAAGCTGCTAAGTGGTATGTCTCATGTGATATTGGCTGGGAGTCACGCACTAAAATGACAAACAGGCGCTGCTGGCCTCATCTACGGCTACACTCTCTTCATTCCTATGGCTCTGTTCCTCGCCCTCCGTTACTTCGGCAGCGAATCTGCCAATCTCCTCGAGTGCTGGGCTCTGTACGGCTACTCCAACCTGATCTGGGTCCCCGTTGCCCTCATTAGCTCATCACCTATCTCCATACTCAACTGGGTCTTTGTCGGTATTGGTTTCGGAATCTCGGTTGCGTTTTTGTTGCGAAACCTTTACCCTGTGCTCAGCGCCACAGATCGCCAGGTCAGCAAGGTGCTGCTGGTCGTTGTGGTGCTGCTACACGCTGGTCTGGCCCTTGCGATCAAGATCCTTTTCTTTGCTCACGGTAGCCCCGTGGCCAGCAAGCCGGACGAGGGTAAAGGTAGCAGCATGTTTTAAGGGGTGGTAGCAAATCGACTAGAACCATGAGATGGAAGTCAGGAATTGAATGACACGTGTAAAGAGAATATGTATTCCTAGGCCACAATTACAGTTAAGGTATAGTCAAAAGGAGTCCCTAAGGAAGCAGATCTTTGGTAATTGTTTGTACAATAAGTTAGAAGGCGCTTTTATTTGACCAACCATTCTGCCAACGAATGTCTGCATTTATCGAGCTCTGTCTGTTCAATATCGTTTCTTAACCTTCTCAACTGGTCCTTGCTGGGCTTCCCAGTCCAGCCAGCTGCCTGCATAATCGCCGATCTTGTCCCAGCCAGCATAATGAGCCAGTTGCGCTGCCGCCCTCGCACGCACTCCTGCTTTGCAATAAAACACAAGCTCCTTGTTCTTTGCCGGTCTCTGGAAGCCGTACATGTCCTCAAAATCCTCGTCAGAGATATGGAAGCTCTGGGCTGCCGATGTGATAGGAATATTGATCGCACCGGGGATCTTGCCCGTCTCGAAAAGCTCGACTGGTTCTCGGACGTCTGTTGCGCTTGTTAACTCGAATTCCCAACATGCCTAGAGGTGAACGTGCCGATGAGGACTACATTGCCCGGGTCAGATTTCTCAATATGGTTCTTTATATCTCCAAAGCTCCATGGCTTGGGGTCCGGTGGGGCATGATCATCTATCGGGTTTGCTTTGGTTTGGGCTTTAGTTTGGGCTTTGGCAGCATAGCTTGCAGTAGACTGAAAGGGCGCAAAAGCTCGGGATGGTAGCGAGGGGCTTGGCGAGCGAGCTGCAATTATCAAGATAGGTCGAGCATGTTGGATAGCAGCGGATACGCGCGAGGCTGATGAGAAGAGAGCGCGACGGGCCGCCATTTTGTATTAGTGTAGAGAGGTACTCCCTAGATAATATCGAGGTGGGAAATGTGAATTGAGGTTCAAGATGGCGAATCGTGGACTATACCGAGCTAAGGCCACTGACTAAGAGGCTGGGACCAGGGTGATGCCCAGACACGATAAAATGAATGCCATGATGTTATCGTAGTAATGAATGAATAGACGTTTCGTAATCACCGGTAATAAAATCAATCGAAAATCAACAAGACGCGGCCTCCATATTCAAGCCTCCAAAGTGATAGCCATCATGAATCCCTCATGCTGACCTAAGTTGGAGCCGACATCAAGTCACTTCACTCAACTCGGTCATCTGATCTGTTTTTGAAATCTTTTGCTATTCGCTGTCCAAATGCCAGTTCCAATCATGGCAATCATCTCTATGACCTTGCGGTCCCAAATGCCCTCAGGCAGCCAACTATATACACCGAGAATAGGTATTAAAACTGTTAACCATCATGATTGTCCTTTCCGTCCACATTGAGCTGTTTTCCCGGCTCTTCAAGCTTCATCTCCAGAGAATTTTCCTGTAGCTAATCATATGCCAACAGTTGATCTCTTATTTTATCTTCATTGGAAGCTTAAGCCATTCACAGCCATCTTCCTCGATCATTCTTTCGGCCTCCCTCATCAGATACACTTGGGCTGCAACCGCACTGCCCTGTGCATCAGGGATGCCGGAATCGTGTCCAATGGTCCGTATTGAATCTAGTGTCGACCAAGTTCCTCCGTACCGTTTACCACTTCCTCTCCTCGAAGGTGAGGGGGCAGTCGTCCTATTTCAAAGTCAGTCGTTATTGCACTGTATTGCCCTGTAGCGAGTACATACCATGGGGAAAATGGTGGCAAAGACCTTGATCTCCTCAGACTTAGGGGTTGCGTGGTGCTTCCAGTCAAGCATGACTGAAGCCTTTCCAATCATGAGAGCCAGGTTCAGCTGAGCGTACACCTGTCCAAGGCAGTAGTGAGGCCCAGTACCAAAAACTAAGTAGTTCTTGGAACCCTTCTCCTCAGCATCACCGCTGTAGTATCGTTCGGGGTCGAAGTGGCTGGGGTTGTCATAGACCTCGGGATCGTGGAGAGCCATGAAAGTGGTGGGGATCAACATTGAGCCTATTGAGGATTCGAGTCAGTGTCACGGCGATCAAAAATGTGATCGGAAACTTCTCAACTTACCCTTGGGAACGGTGTAGTTCTCAGTCAGAGGGAAGGCCTTCTTGGTGACGTAGGGAACCATGATGACAGGAGGGCGCCATCGAAGAAGCTCTCGGACAACAGCGCGAGTGTAAGTAAGAGATTCGAGCTGATCCATGGTGATAGGCGCGTTAGGGTCACCGTTACGGACCTTGATGTTCTCCTCCCGGACACGGTCGAGGACATCGGGTCGTTGGGCGGTAACCTGGAAGAGCCAAGTAGCGGCGCTGCTGGTGGCATCCTGAGAAGCGAAGAGGAAGGTGAAGATGGTCTGAGAGATTTCGTAATCGTTGAACATGCGGAGAAGAGGAGTGGGCTTCTCGACGGTGTGTCCCTCGCCTTTCTCCTCAGCCTCACGCCAGCGCTCAGACTGGATCATTGACAGAACCCAGGCGTCCATGATGCAGGTGACTTCACCACCAGCGGCCATGCGAACCTTGCTCTTGGCGGCACACTTGGAGAACTCGGCCAGAACCATATCAGCGGCCTTCTTGCCATACCAAGACTTTGTATAAGGAAGGATAACGGGGAGGTTGACAAGCTCGAGTGCAGCAGTGATAAGATAGTAATCCTCGGCGATCTTGGTGACAGCCTCGTCAGAGATGTAATGGCCAACAAAGGTACGACAAGAGACAGCGCACATAACCTCACGGAATTCGTGCATGAAAGGGACAGGCTTGCCGCCGGCATCCTTAGTCATCTTGAGGAAATGCTTGAAGTAAGTGTTATAAGCCTCCTCCTGGCCAGGCAGATAGCTCTCCAGGGCCTTGCGGGTGAAGAGACCGTTAAGACCCTTGCGGAAATCAACGTGGGCCTTTCCGTCGAGGAACACCCAGTTGTCGTGCCCCAGAAGCTTGGGAGCAACGTCGACAACAGTGGGCTTGACATAGGCGGGTGAGTTAAAGACCTTGCGAGCCATGTCACGAGTGGAAGCAATAACGACGAACCTAGCATTTCAATGTCAATATAGCCGTTCCGTCATGTTGAATCGCTCGTTCAGTACTTACTTATGGAAGATAGAAACACAGCTCAGGGGACCGCTGCTCCACTTGGCATGATAACCGTCAAATCGAGGATCCATGGAGTCAAGGAATGGGCCGATGAAGGGAAGCTTCATGGCCGGGCCCTCAATAGGGCCTTTCCTAATGATATAGGCAACTATTTAGGAGCTCTGGTTAGCAATGCGCCTTGGGTTACCCGGTAACGGAACAATAACATACTCTGATCATAGGCAACACAAAGAGCGATGAAAGTGAATACCCAAGTCCAGACGCCGGCGTTAGACACGGCTTCGATAACATATTCGACCTGAGGAGGAAGAGCCACATTGGCGTATTTGGTGCCGGCCAGAACAGACGAGAAGCCACTGGAGGTAGCGTTGACGGCCTCCATTTTGTTGAGGGCGGTGATATGCGACGGTAAGGAATCAAATCAGTCCAGTCGTTTGGATGAACCGCGCCGCAAGTCGAGTTGGAGCTCGCAACCAAGCGAGATTATTATGTGGTTGTTGAGTTTCTCGCAACCAGTGATACTCCTTGGGACTGAGAAGTAGTATGCGGATGAAGGAGAGGAAAGGGATAGAGACGGGATGGAGGGGAGAGGATAGGAGGAAGTAGAGTAGGAGAAGTGGAGGTTGTGTTTCTTTCCAGATGCAGGAGGTACCTTAGCAAGGTTAGTAATTGTCCAGTCTTCCCGTCTGCGCCGTTGGCTGTCCAAGGTGCAGGCGCCTCCCGTCAACAAAGTCCGTTCAGTCAGTCAATGAGATCAGTGCTTGGCTTGTCATTTACAGGGAACGGGCAGAGAGTGAAAAATAAAAAGAGGGCCCTGGGGTCTCAAGGTCAAGGTACGAGCACTACAAGGGCAAGGGACAGGGTGTGAACGATTAACGGGAGCGAATTCGCCAAGGGCGGAGATTTAAAGAGATGAATGTGATGAAAGATACACTGCTGGACCATCTCTGTATTGAACAAGCCAATGGCTGGCAGGAATGTTGTTGATTACTTTCTGATTACCATAAACTACTTTTTGTTCCTATTGCAAGCTTTTTTGTGGCCTTGTGTCCCAAATAGATGTTGTTGGCCAGGGCGTGAGGAGAGACAGATTAGATGCGAGGTGGAGTTGCAGCGTGGTTGACTTGTTGGTGGGGGTCGGCTGAGTGCCACACTTCTATAGATACGCCCGCCCAATTAACACATGGAACCTTCCTCAAAAGACTTCAATAACGACCGTTTTCTTCGATTGCCAGGAGGATAAATCTGTGTGTACGCTCAATAAAGACGCATAACTGGTAATTCATTTATTGGGCCTTTCCAGATCTACATATCAAGATAAAGGGGTGTAAAAGGAAGATTGCATGTTTCCATGACAATTTCCTATCCTTTTTTTTTTCACTGGGTCTTCATATCAAATTCCTTTTTACCTGGTGCTAATTTCCATGCTCCAACTCGACATCTTTCACCGAAAAGCTTCCTACTTTAGTTTAGTCTCCGAACTTCGAAGCCCCGACGATCCCGTAAAGGGTCTAATGTGGGCCTGTCGCATTTGCTTCTGGAACTGGAACTGGAAAGCAGACCACTTGCATTTCGTAGTATTCGTGTAGGTATCATCATTCACCCGGAGTGACAACTTGACATGATTTCTTACTACATACGTACAACCTTTAGTGTCTCGTTCTATCTGTACCAGCGCCACGCTGCTTGGTCTTGCAATAGACATAGACTCGTGACCTCTGGATCACCACTTACACCAACCATAATAACACTAGGCCAACTACCATAATGTCTTGCTTGTTCGCTTGTCTTTTAAGCTCCACCAGCCTTGATCGTAATCGTATGTACGCAATAGACAGCCCTAGCATTAATAACGTTTACCGCCTTCGCCTTGTTCCGCGTCTTCCGTCGTAGATCTAAGCGGGCCCTAGCC